GGAGTCGCCACTATCATTGGCTGGTAAGTCTTAATTAGCTGTATTTATTTATTTATTCTCAAAAACAAAAAAGTTAAAAAAAAATCAAAAAAAAATCAAAAAAAAAAAGAAATGTCTTTTACGGGTCCATTTGGCAGAGGAGTAATATGCCATTACTGCAAGAAGCCCGGGCACTTGCTCAAAGAATGTAGAAAGTTGCTGTTCAAAAATCAAGGAAATCAGCTTGCTCATGTTGCTTCCGCTACGAGTTCATTTGATGGATCAATTGCTATTTCTTCAGACGAGTATGCTAAATTTATTTGCTACCAAGAATCTCTAAAGCATTCATCTACCCCTATCTCGGTAGTCGCAAATTCAAGTATTTTAAACACATGTCTTGTTTCATCATCCTCAAAATGGGTCATTGACTCAGGTGCCACAGATCATATGACTGGTAATCCTAGTCTATTCTCATCATTTCACTCACATTTACCTGCTTCCAGTGTCACTTTAGCAGACGGGTCTACCTCACCCGTTCTTGGATCTGGTACTGTTGTACCAACTTCTACATTACCATTATCGTCTGTTTTGAGTCTTCCTAATTTTGCATTTAATCTGCTTTCCATCAGTAAAATCACACGTACTCTTAATTGTTCTGTAACATTTTTTCCGGGATATTGTGTGTTTCAGGATCTGTTAACGAAGCATACTATTGGTCAAGGACATGAGTCGGGTGGTCTTTATATTTTGGATACATCAATTACAAAAGGCATCTCTTGCCTTGGGGTTGGAAATCTATTAGAAGCTCATTACCGATTAGGACATCCATCTCTCTCACTAATGAAGCAATTATATCCTCAGTTTAATAAGGTGTCTTCTATACAATGTGAGTCGTGTGAGTTTGCTAAACATCATCGCACTAGTTTAAGTCCCCGACTTAATAAACGAGCAAATGCTCCGTTTGATCTTGTCCATATTGATGTTTGGGGGGCATGTCCAGTTGTGTCCAAACCTGGTTTCAAATATTTTGTCACTTTTGTTGACGATTATTCTCGTATGACATGGGTGTATTTTATGAAGCGCCGATCCGAGTTATTTACTCATTTCTCTGCATTTTGTGCTGAAATTAAAACTCAATTTAATGTTCCTGTTCGTGTGTTAAGGGGAGACAATGCCCAAGAATATTTATCTGCTCCATTTAAATCTTTTATGCTTCAATATGGAGTTGCTGAAAGAAAGAATCGACATCTGTTAGAAACTGCAAGGGCTCTTCTATTCCAAATGAATGTGCCTAAACAGTTTTTGGTTGACGCTGTGTCTACTTCATGTTTTTTGATCAATCGTATGCCATCTTCTGTTTTGGATGGTAAAACTCCTTATCAATGTCTTTTTCCAAATAAAGAACTTTTTCCTATTCCACCTAAAATATTTGGTTGCACTTGTTTTGTTAGAGATGTTAACCCTCATCAGACGAAATTGGACCCCAAGTCATTGAAATGTATTTTCTTGGGTTATTCTCGAGTTCAAAAGGGGTATAGATGTTTTTGTCCAAGCACAGGTCGATATCTTATTTCTATTGATGTCTCATTTCATGAAAATACACCATTTTCATCATCCAAGACAGATATTCATGAGGACAACGATGAAATACTCATTTACACAGTTACTATACCTGAGACCACACCTTCAGTAACTATGTCGAATGTCACTGTTCCTGACCCTAGACCTCCTGTACACTTGGTTTACACCCGTCGACACAAAGCACAAGATCACTCCCCACTTGTGACACCTGTGATTACATATCCTTATACTGGTCCGACTTCGATCTCATGTCCTGAACCAGTACCTGCATCTTCAGATCTTGTCTCTACATCTGATCTTGACCTCCCGATAGCACTACGTAAAGGTACACGGTCTTGTACTCATCCTATTTCCTCATTTGTGTCATACAGTCAGTTATCTCCTGCCTCATGTTCTTTTGTTGCTTCCATTGATTCTATTTCTGTTCCCAAATCTGTTAAAGAAGCTTTGTCTCATCCTGAATGGCGTCATGCCATGGTAGAGGAAATGAATGCTTTGGATCTTAATGGTACTTGGGATTTGGTATACTTGCCTTCAGGGAAGAAGTCTATTGGATGTAAGTGGGTCTTTGCTGTTAAGGTTAATCCAGATGGATCTGTTGCTCGATTGAAAGCTCGATTGGTTGCAAAGGGTTATGCTCAAACCTATGGTGTTGATTATTCTGACACTTTTTCTCCTGTTGCTAAATTAACATCTGTCAGGTTACTTATCTCACTCGCTGCAACTCATGATTGGCACTTACACCAGTTGGACATTAAAAATGCATTCTTACATGGTGACCTTCAGGAGGAAGTTTATATGGAGCAACCTCCGGGATTTGTTGCTCAGGGGGAGTATGGGAAAGTTTGTCGACTTCGCAAATCTCTTTATGGTCTAAAACAGAGTCATCGTGCATGGTTTGGGAAATTCAGTCAATCCATTGAACGGTTTGGAATGATAAAAGGTCAATCAGATCACTCTGTCTTTTACAGAAAAACGAAAGCAGGTATCACATTGCTTGTGGTGTATGTCGATGATATTGTGATTACAGGAAGTGATACCGCAGGTATTTTGGCACTTAAGAATTTTCTTCATAGCCAATTCCAAACAAAAGACCTAGGCTCATTGAAATACTTTCTGGGTATTGAGGTAACACGGAGTAAGAAAGGCGTATTTCTATCTCAGCGTAAATATGTACTTGATTTACTAACTGAAACAGGGAAATTGGGAGCAAAGCCAAACACAACTCCCATGGTTCCCAATGTGCAACTCACTTCAGAAGGCATACCATTCGAAGACCCAGAAAGGTACAGAAGATTGGTTGGAAAGCTTAACTATCTCGCAGTCACTCGTCCAGACATTGCTTACTCTGTGAGCGTAGTGAGTCAATATATGTCATCTTCGACAGTTGATCATTGGAATGCAGTAGAGCATATATTATGTTACTTGAAGGGGACACCAGGACGAGGTATTGTTTACCAAAATCATGATCACATGAGAATAGAATGCTTTGCAGATGCTGATTGGGCTGGATCTAAAGATGATAGGAGATCCACATCTGGCTATTGCGTCTTTGTTGGTGGTAATCTCGTCTCTTGGAAAAGTAAGAAGCAAAATGTGGTTTCTCGTTCGAGTGCTGAATCAGAATATCGGGCTATGGCACAATCGGCATGTGAGATAATCTGGATAAACCATTTGCTGAGTGAAATCGGATTGAAGACACCAATGCCTGCTAAACTCTGGTGTGATAACCAAGCTGCTATACACATTGCCAACAACCCAGTGTTTCATGAGAGAACAAAACATATTGAGGTCGATTGTCACTTTGTTCGAGAAAAGATACAACAAGGATTGATCTCTACAGGATATGTGAAGACTGGAGAGCAACTTGGAGATTTGTTCACTAAAGCATTAAATGGAATTCGTGTTAGTTATTTATGTAACAAGTTGGGCATGATAAATATCTATGCTCCAACTTGAGGGGGAGTGTGAAAGACATTAGAATATACTTTAGAATATTCTTCTATCCTTAGAATATACTTTAGAATATTTTAGGAATATACTCTAGGATATTATTATTGTATAGAATCTTATAGGAATATTCTATCTTTGTAATGTATATTTATAGGGACTTAACCCTCCAATGAAATACACAGAAAATCTTTCCTCCTCTTCAATATTATATTTTGTAGTTTATATTTCAACAAAGTCAATCAGACAAAAGATGGGAACAACACCTATTGAAGATATGATGTGAGATTCTCGATTACGGTGGTTTGGCAATGTGCCTAGAAGACCTAGTGAGGCATCTGTTTGACGACTTGAGAGGTGTGGAGAAAGAGAGGAAGACCCAAACAAATGTGAATTAGATGAGTCTGAAGTAATATGTTTCTTCTCAAGTTGGGTGAGAGTATGACTTTGGAGAGTGCAAAGTGGAAGACTGATCTCTTTTATCTTTTGTATCTCTTAATCTTTTTTTTTATCTTTCTTATGTTCTTTATCCTTTTATCCTTTTGATCTTATATTTTATCCTTTTTATCTTTTCATTTTTTCTTATCTTTTTTTTATCTTACCTTATCTCTTTGTCTTTCTTATCTTTTTATCTTTCCCATCTTTCTTATTTTTGATTTCATGTGTGTATTCATATTAGGTGACTTCAAACTCTTTTGGCACTAAGGCAGGATTTTGTTGTTGTTGTTGAGTGTAAGAAGATAATGATCATAATTGCCATCAGAACTAAGAGTGGTAGTGAGGTTTAACAATTCTAAATTCTATTCAATAGGATTTTGTGAACCCAAGTATTGGATGCAGCATATTTACAGTGATAAAGTACAATGGTTATTTGCTGTCCGTCAGCAGTTCCATGTCAAGGCATCAATATTGAAATTCTAGGTCTACTTTTTTGTGTATTAGCTTCCATGTATCTGCAGCATGAAGAAGTACTGTGTTTGTATGCACTGCACTTGCCAGTTGCCAGCACTGACCATGTGAGGCCTCGAGATTGAAGAGTTACAAAATGTATTCCCTATAGAGATTAGAGTCATATTTACTTTGCCAAGTGTTCATTTATTTTTAATATTTTCATCTTCATAAAATTTAAACAACTCATACCTGCGATTGTGGTGCAAGAAGATTTGGTGGGTACAAAGTGGTGCTTTAGTTAAACTTCTGTTGCTAACTGAGTTGTTGATATGAATCCAATCCTCCTATAATTTTCCAAGTTATGCTACAAGTACATACATTCTTACAAAAACTCTCACAAAAGAGGTGTGTGGCAGCATTAAATTGTTTTACACTTCATATCACTTTTACATCAAAGGCGATTACAATAGTCACATCACTTATTTGTAAGTTTGTCTGTACTTACAGCATTTTCCTAATTTTCCACCAGCTGTAACTTCTTAAAGATTTTCACTTGTCTAAAATTACAGTTTCCAAATTGATGACTCTCTCTATTACAGGTCAATGAAGCTGCCTTGACAGAAGATTTGGACCAATCATGGGAGGTTCTTGCTGAACCTATACAAACTGTATGTAACTTGTTCGCTATCCTTAATAAAGTTCTCCTAGTCATACTTGCACACACGCTCTATACATTCATGATCTTACTTGTACTTCTCTGTTGTGTTTGTTGTTGGATTTTGATAATTTCTGATTTTGGATAAAACGTTTCATTGTTTATTTTGCTATACTGCCAAACCAAAATCTTAACTCATTTTCATTTTGTTATATACTTCATGTCCCATAAAGGTACAAATTTGTTTTTTTAAGGTTGACTAATGATGCAAATAAATCTTCCTCTCTAATATTAAATTTAATATAACAACTAAACTTAACATATTGAGAAAACACTAGAAATTCTATTTTTTAGCAAAAACGGACTGCGATAGCCTAATAAGGTAAAAACAGCTAATCAATTTGGAGCGGAGGGAGTATTCCCTATAAAGAAAAACTGATTGTAGTAAGATATTACCTAGTGTAGCTGTCATTTGGTTCTTGTTGATGAGTTATAGTAATGCTTTAATATGTGATCTAATTGTCTTATTATAGGTGATGCGAAGATATGGTGTCCCAGAGCCATATGAAAAACTAAAAGAGCTAACCCGGGGGAGAACAGTGACAAAAGATAGCATTAGGGAGTTCATTGAAGGTATAGAAATACCTCATAATGCAAAGACTACTCTTTTGAACTTAACACCACATACGTATATTGGTGCTGCTGCTGAATTGGCCAGAAACATAGAAAACATTACTAAATCCAAGTAATGTGGCTATTGCATCTGGCCTTGACTATGATCGAAGTATCTTTGAGGTAGTCTTGTCATCACTAACAACAAGTTCAGCTGGTAAGTTGAGTTGGAACTATCCTTGTCTCGGAGCATTGAAGTTTCGATTTTGGTGTTAAATTTCAGATGAAATTCGGTGTTGTATTCTCATAGTCTGAATAATCCTTTAACTTTTATGTTACATTTGGTCACTTGTAGTATACATTTTATAAGCAATACTTTCTTTCTTTAATGAGGTTTTGTCTAGATCATTTTCTGATGGCTTCTTAAACTTTTTATGTTGTCATTTGTGTATCACATAAATGTGTGCCCTGATGTATTTCCGAGTTATTCTTAGAAAGTGTTGAAAATTAGATTTGGAGTAGGGTGGACTGGTCATGGTCCCAGAACTTGGTCCGGACCGGTTGTTTATTTTGCTTGGAAACAGGATCCGATTTCCTGTTCCAGACCAGATCTAGTACTGTAAACCGTTCCAAGCCAATTATAGTCACGTTCGCTCTAAAATAGGATACTTGTTCTGGTCTTGTTTTTTGTAAAAAATAGGCTAAAGAACCACAATGAGACAGAACTGGAGTCCACCCGTGAACTCAAACAGGAATTACCAGGTTAAGATTCTCGTCCCACCTATTATAAATACGTAGTATGATCCTAACCAGACCTGGCCATCCCTGGTTTGGGGTTAGAAACTGTATCATGAAAACATTTCATAGTTTCTCAAGAAGATTGTGGGCCTTGCATGTACAGAGTAGTATGTATTCCAATTCAACAAGTCTATTTGTAGTGCACGTTGGAGCTTATATTTTGGTAGTGAATTGAACGCTATATTGTGAAGTGTTCAGTTACTCAGTCCATTGTCCTCTAGTTGGAAATATCTTCAGTTACTCGATATCTCCAAAAGTGGCCTAAAAATATTTAAGGTGATAAATATTAGATACTACTCTAATTGGAAAACATTCTCAGAATCTCAGTTACAAACATAAACCTTTACTGCTAGTTGGGAACAAAGAATATCCATTTCACAAATGCTCTACTTGTTTGTTTTCCTAGGACAATATTGACTTGCAATCAAATCAGTTGCATAACTTGAATTAAGTTTGTATCTGATTTACGTGACCAATTTGCATCCATGCAAATAGTTGATATCAGGAAGTTAAGAATAACACAAATAGAGTCGGGACTTCTAGAGAAGTCCTGAATGAATATAATTATATAAAGTAAAAGACGGCATGGCCCCAAAACTATGAATAACACAAACAGAGGTGTGGGGAGGTAGGTTGGGAATTACCGCTACTTTAACAGGATTTACCTTAACCTTTTTGCTCAATATCTTATGGCTTAAGCCTTAAGGCCATGCCTTCTTGTATCATGAAATTGGACTTTTCCTAGTTAAGTATCAAATTCAACACTTTACACCTAGTGAAGACATACTGTCTATTCTCTAAGCAATACTCAAAAGTATCACAAAAATATAAAAGTTATCCATGAAGACTTCCATAAAATTTCTAATAAAATATTCAGATATAGATAACATGCATTACCGAGCCCAAACACCATCCTTATACTTTCTCAGCTTATTCCGCCGTCACTGAGCCCCTCTTGCAGTTTACCTCCCCAAGCAATGCAAGACTTTGCTTGTGAAGGGAAGCTATGATATCCGCTCTTACATAAAGGAGAAGAGGCTGGTGAAGCTTGGCTACATCCGGTTTTCCAACAGTAAGTCAATTTCAGATAAGCAAGCATGGGAGGAGGAAAGTAAGACAATGTCGAATGAGCAAGCAGGGGAGGAGGAAAGAGAATAAGCTAGGAAAGGACAACAGGTGTTAAGGGCTATAATAGCCTATTGGTTAAGCTGCCGAAGATGTGCAGAAAGAAGGGACTCTTCTGATAAGTAGGATAGCTCATCCTTTGATGATGATGACGATGATGATGACGACGATGATGATGATGATGGTGGTGGAGGTGGTGGTGGTGGTGATGATGATGAGAGATTGAGAGGGCAGACACTTATATGTCTCCCTCTAAGTAGGAGCTCGGAGGTAGTCCTGAATGTATTCGCTGGTGAGGAATCCGTCGTGTCTGATGGGGGGTTTGTCTTAAAGAGAAGGCCCAGGGGGAGGGGAGGAGTGCAGCTTCTGGGATAGTAGAGGCAGATGCCAGTTTTACATGGTATACTCTTTGACTATTGTTGGTTTAATTTAAATAGTTCTATTGCCTTATGTTTTTTGCCTTTGACTTGTGCCGGAATGTCATCTTAGTGAGCGTTCTTTTCCCCATTAAATGAACAGAGGCATCCGTAAATTCATAGAAGCTAGTTCCAGTCCTCGAGCCATAGAAGAAGTCAGAACTTGTACTAGAGCCATAGTCGGAACTGGAGTTGCATGCCGTGAATACCTCTGATGAGGAGGGAGGGTTTCCTCAGGTGGAGCAAGAAGTGCACAGGTGATGAGGGGGATTATTGGCATGTATTGAAGAATAGAAAGATTGCGTAGGCCCTAGGTGGAGATTAATGCTCTCCTCCCTCACTCCATGTTCTGGCTACCTTCAGGTCGCCAACGGGCAATACTTTAATTACAATCCCGACCACTGCAGTTTTGTCCAGGGAAATGCTTCGGTCATTCGTTACCTTGACATGGTTGCCTTGCCCCCCCCTCCCCCCCCCCCCCCCCCAAGATGATGGAAGATCCTGAGTAGGTCAAACACCAAGTTATTGATTATTTGGTTGCTCTGTGAGCGCCGGAAAGGAGGTGGAGCGACCTTGTAGGTAGGTGATTTGCATAGAATGTTTTAGGTCTGTGAGCCGAGTATTGGGCCTCTATGCCTTTCTAACCAACATTACTAAACTCACTAATAGATGAATGCTTGTTGCATACTTGCATATAACTTCTTTTTCTCCTGCTTTATGTTAATATGATAGATATGATTCCTCTTTCTTTGTTTTGCCTTGTGTTTTGCAAAGCGTTGAGCGGATGAGGATACGAGCCTGATGAGTTGCTTGTACTTTATTGAGCGATTTCGAGGATAAACTAAGAAATAACACTAAGAGCATATTTGTGTGAAAAAGAGAGAAATAACACTAAGAACATATTTGTTGGAATAAAAGAACTTATACAAATGGAGGAGACATTTAATAAGGGAAATTGGTTAAATTTTGTTGGACATGAAGCCTAACATGAGATGATCTAAAGAGAATAATGAATAAGAACACGAATATTGCTTGTAGCTTTGTGAAATACAAAAAAAGTGACTACTTTTCTTTTTTCTTTTTTCTTTCTAAAAATATGATTAACGTTTTATTTAATCAATTCAATGTTTTATTGTAATATATTTCAATTATCTGCCCTAACCACATCCCCCCACATGTCCAGCCAGCCATGGCGGGATCCGTCACCGGAAAAGTTTCCGGAAACAGCCACCAGAAAAGTTGTCGGGATCCGCTACTAGAAAAGTCGCCGGAATACTCAATGTTTTTTTCTACTTTTTTTTAAACAACCAATTTTTTTCAACTATCACAATGACATGATTCACGGCAGCGGTGACATCCGTAAGTGACATCCAACATTCTGACTACCCCAAACATTTCCTCTAGACTCCTTACAACCAATCGGCCCTCTCACTTCCTAATCAGGCATAGAATAGACTGCCCAATAATGAGTAAGACTAATCACTGTACATGCGAGAGATTTAAAGCTATTATCCGCCAAACTAACCTGATTGCTACCTCCCAAACTAAAATCTAAAACCACAAAACAGATAGTATAGTGTTTGACCTCAGACGCAACAAAAGATATAAAAACATAGTATTGGACCTAAATGTTAAATATAATGTGGATAAAACTAGATAACGTAGAGCAAAACTTGAGCCACCTTCGAGCAAAGTTAACCAATAAAACTTCATCTTCCTCCTCCAAGATCAACTGATATCAAATCTGATCTAGTTCATCAAACTCGCCTTTCCTCGTAACCATCTCAATCACTACCGCTTGGGAATACCTATGCCCTTCCATCGCAACCTGCAGCTTCGAATCCATACAATCCGTCTTCCAATCCGTGAAAACAGAGTTTGCCCCAAAACGCCGAACAAATCTGCTACGACTTGGAGAGCCTCAGTCGTCAACCCCTGCGAAACTAGACAACTAGGCCGTTTGTCGATGGCTTGAGGCAAATAATTCAAAAAATATAACTTTAATAGTCAATTTTTTGTCTAAATATAAAAGTGGTCATTGTTTTTGGAAATTGACTTGAATTTAATCGTATTTAAAGAAAAAAATCAAAAAGTAAATTACTCTCTTCGTTCCGAAATGAAATTCCCGATTTGACGTACACATATATTTATGTAAAATACTATCTCCGTCCCCCTAAGTTTATGTATGATATTGAATTAATAAAGTAAGAATAAAGTAGGAATGATTTAGAGTCACACAAAATTTACCAAATAAGGTATGGGACAATCATAGTGGGATAGACCGAAAAGGTAAAATGGGACAATCATAGTGGGACAGAGGGAGTAAATTTTTGTTTGACTTTTCAAGAATACCCTTACTTTATGTCAAATATAACAAAAAGTATATAAAAACAAGAATAGTTGTGATTTTTTGTTTGAAGTTATTTCCTATGGAAATGAGAACTTTTTTTTTTGAATATCTACAAAATGAGATTTTTTTTTTGGGTGGAGAGTGATAGAAGTATCTAGTATATGCCTGCATAAATCAATCAGCTAGGTTCAATCAAGTCAGATTTTTTTCTTTTATAGTTGTGGAATGAATGTGCAGAAATGAGTAAAAGGTTGTCTTTTCGGGGAAAAAACGCATTTACTCCGGTGTGATTCTCGTGTTCCTACTACCATCATCTTCAATCCTGTAAACTGTAATTCTGTAAACCCAGCACTTCTTTCTATCGGATTTCACACAATACTATAATTATAATAATTATAAATAAATCAGCAATTACAAAAACATATCCCGTACATATAAATAAATATATATATAGAGAGAGATGAAAATGTGCGGGCGTTAAAAAAGACACAGGCTAAGGCATGGCGAGTGTGCAAGCCAGAGTGGCGGCGCAATCTCTCCTCCTCTTCCTCCTGCTGGCGATACCCGGCGGCTGCCTCTCCGCCGCCGTCCACGATCTGCTCAGGTCGTACGGACTTCCGGGCGGGCTTCTCCCGAAGCAGGTGAGCAACTACAGCTTGTCGGAGACGGGGCTGCTAGAAGTGTTCCTCGAAGGCCCGTGCCTGACCAAGTTCGACACCATGGCCCGGTACGACAGCGTGGTCCGGGCCAACCTCACCCACGGCGGCCTCGGCGGCGTCCAGGGCTTCTCCCAG